TCCTCCTGTAGGCTTTAAATCATCTCTAGATTACTTATAGCTAATACAATGTAAATGCCCTGTAATTAGTTGTTACAGTGTATTGTTTAGGGAATATTGACAAGAAAAATGTCTACATGATCAGTACAGACGCCATTTCTAGTATTTTTATCCACGGTTGTTTGCATCAGGATGCAGAACCTCAGATGCAGAGGGAACATCATATCCGGAAAAGAACAAGGTCTTTTCTCTCCCACTGCTCCTGTCCTGCTCCTCCACAGGACCCTCTGCTCCTCTGTCTCACCTGGGTGTGGGTCATCTAGTCAGTCCTCATCCCTAGGCCAACATGGGAGCCCCAGGCATAGGCTCTGGGGCTGTACCTTCCGCAGCCAGATCAACCTCCTGCAAGCTGCCAATCAAGAATGGGGTTTGCAGCCCATCAGTTCAGCCCACAGAGGGTCTTAACATAATAATGAGACCAAACCTAGAGAAATTTAGAGTTTGGTACCAAAGGCCCACCACAGGCCAGTGAGGAACCTGTCCATATGAGGTTATTTTCCTGATAACCATAAACCCAGCCAAAGACCTCCCATCCCTCCCTCACCCAGCTCCCTGTCGGAGACCCCGGGGGAATCACTCTCATCCCCTGGGGAGGGGCTTTCTGGCTCTCCCACTCACTGCCACATTCTCTTGAAGGAGGGTCTATTGGCCCCAGAGGTCCGGTTGCCAGCCATCTCTTCTCTCCCTTTGCCTGTTCTTAGCCTCGGCTTTGGCAAGGTGATGAATTAGGAACCAGAAGTTGGCACATCCACCAAGCAATTAGCGTTTATCTCCCTCGTTTATGTGGCTGAACAACAGCTCATTTTCAAACTTAATAGTCAATACTCAGAAAGATAAAATTGACTGGGTCACTCTTGGGGGATGATTTGAGGGCTTGATGGAGAAACAGGCAGGGGTCACGAGGCTGCAGAAATGAACGGGGCATGCCCACCCCACCAGTCCTCAGGCCAGCCCCCCGCAGACAGAGCCAAGGTGGTGCCCACAGAGAGGGGACCTTCCCCCTGTCCTACCTTTGGCCTCCATACCCCTGGTGGGGTCAGGAGCCCACCCTTCACTCCTGCTCAGACTGGAGGTCTGCCATCCTGTGGTCACACATTCCAGTCTAGGACGGAAGGGTCTAGAAGTAGAAGAAAGGGGCTTAGCGCTAGGGCTGTGGAACCCAGCGCTGCTGACCACCGGGGCTGGGGAGGGAGGCAGAGTGCCCATTAACCACGGTAAAATGCTGCCACCTGCTGGTCATGATTCAGAACTGCAGGAGCCCTGGCCCAGGTTCTGTGGCTGGGAAAGACATGGGAAAGGGAAACTAGTCAGATTGCATTCACCCTGTCCCTCCTCAGGTGCAGAAGGCTAAAAAAGATGGGAAACTCAAGCTTCCTCCAAGTTTGAGCTGTTTCACTGTTGCTTTGTTGTTAATTTGACAATAATACTAATGATAATAATATGACCTCTCTATTACTGAGCACTTGCTCTGCAGGTATTTGCACACATTGGTTTTGTTGCTCAAAACATTAAGTTGTTATCCCAACTGAGACTCAGACAGGCTGGGCAGCCTGTCAAGGTCACATAGCTGGTGGGTGGCACAGCCAGGATGCCAACAAGGGCCACAGCTGGTGGTCTGGCTCCAGACTACCAGCTGCCCTTGGAAATTTGTCTCGGCCCCAAGAGGGCCCTAGGCGCCCCTCACTGGACACCTTCATGACTCCCCTTTGTTACTCTCACCCTCCTCTCCCACCACCTCCTCCCAGATAATTGCATCTCAGCTTCTGGGACCTGTCCAGAGCTGGGAACCATTCTAGGACAAAATAGAGTCCAGATCCAGGGGTCCAAGAGGACCAGAGCAGAGACTAGAAGATTCTGAGTCCCCCAACCTCCCTCCATTCTGGGCCAGAAGGCTTGGAACCAGAATCTTTGAAGTCAGGTCTAAAGGAGAGGCAGACCACTGGACTGGGCAGGAAGTCCAGGGGATCTGGGAGTACAAACTGCCTGACCCAGTCCTGATCACAGAGCTCCAGTCTGTGACCTATCCCAAGTTTCCAGTCTCTTTCAATTCCCTCATTGTTGTCTCTATTTCACAGACTCTGAGAGCTAGGAAAGAGCCCCAGAAATGATCTGGTAAATAGACTTCATCTTATAGATGAAGTAGATCAGGACCAGAGAGGGCAAGTGGCTTGCTCAGATCACACAGCCAGAGGTGACAGAGCCAGGATGCAAACTCAGGTCTCCCAGCCATCCAACCAGAGCTTGCTACTGAGCACAGGGCCACCCCCCACCTCCCTTGTCTGCCAGCAGGCTGCCAATGTCATGCCCAGAACTGCTTACAGCCTTGAGCTGGGTGAGGAGAGGGAATGGGAGCACAAGCCAGCCCTCTGCTCCGGGTCTGGGTCACACCCACAGTGGTGATGGAGTCTTGCTGTGCTCCTTCCTCCTGGGAAGAGCTGCCTCCACCCCCCACACCCCCCGCCCCAGCCCTGGGACCTGCCCAAGGCTCCTGTCTTCACCCTCGCTGCCGGGGGCCGAGTCTTAAAAACAGGAGAGAGAATTCTTTGACTGCTGTGTAAGCACAGCTCTGAGGGCTGTGGAACCCACCGGGATTGACTGGGAATGGGATGCTTGGGACATCCTCCCAGTTCCCAGCAGAGCGCCAGGGCCTCCAATCACTGTGGCCTTCCTGACTTCCCATCTTGGACCCTCCACGCTGTCGGTGGAGGAGGCCCGGGTCCAGGCCGGGCGGCACCCGGCTGCCCCCACAACTTTCAGCCTGGGGAATCAGCCCAACCTGGTTCCCAACCAGGGCCAGGTGGGCTTAGGGCAGGGCCCAGAGGAGGCCCTGGGCCTCAGAGTGTAGGCAACATGGGGCCCAAGAGCGTGGCCTCCCCTGTCACAGCCACAAGGACTGCGGGTCCTAAAGGCCAGGAGGCTCCATGACACCTGTGAGCTGGCCCTGCTGGAGCCCTGAAGGGGCACTCCTCAGAGGACACTGCTGGGAAGACCAGCACCTGGGCAGGGGCTGCAGGGAGCAGCAGCCAACCCAGCAGCTCTCTGTCCTCCCTGCTTCCACGGGAGGAGCCCCGCGTGGCCATAGCCACTGTATGGGCCACTGGATCTGGCCACTGTGTGGGCGTCCCCCCTCCCGGGGCCGGCCCTCTCCTGTGCCTGCTGAACCCTCCCCTCTTCTCTCTCTTCCTGTTCTTTTCCCCCCTCCCTTTTCTGGCTTCAAGGAGCCTCCCCCTGGGAATCCCGGCCCCTGGCTTGGACCCAGAGCCTCCAGGGCCCAGCAGCACTGGGAAAGGGAGGAGGGACAAGTCCCCTCGGGAACCCGCAGCAGTGGGCCTGTTCCCAGGGTTGGGGGCTGCTGCTCCTAGTGCAGCGTGAGGACCAGGACAGAGAGGGCCTCGGTGCGCCGGCCTCGGTGCGCCAGCCACATCAGAGAGAAGGCCGTGGCTTCTGCATCCTTTTAACCCCTTGGCTCACACACCTCCTCCAGGACGCCTGCCCTGACTGCCCCTCCAGGCCTCTCTGGGCCTCCCAGGGACTGAAAGGCCTCATGGCCTTTCTTCCTCCACCAAGCCCAGGATGGAGCTGTCCTCAGGCTCCCCTGCCTCGGAGGCCCTCCCCACACTGAGGAGGCCCCCAGGTCCAGAGTCTCCAATCGACCTCTACCTCTGGCATCTGAGCATCAGAGGGCTCTGGGTTCCAGGCTCCCCAAGACTCTCTGGGGACCCTGGTGCAGGCTGGCCAGAATCCCCAGGCTCCCACCCTTTGTGCTTAATGTCAATCAAGACCTGTTTCAGAAAGTTCCAGTCTCCTGCACCCCAGAGAATCAGCCTGGGGTGGAGAGGGGTGGAGGGAGACCCCAGCGTGCCCCGTCTTCAAGGTGAAAGAGGGAAGATATCCAAAGACTCGGAGCCCTCCAGGGACCCTGGAGAGCCAGTCATTCAACACAAGAGAAATGAGTGACAACGGTTTATTCGGGAGGGGAAAGCCCAAGCTGAAAGTCTGCCACCCCCTGCAAGCTGGCCACCTCGAGCCCCCATTGGAACTGGGGTCAAAGACAACCCCGCCGTGCTGCTCCTGGTTTGGTCTGTCTCCCTGAGCCCCGTGGCATGTGACACAGAGGGCAGTCAGGGGAAGAGGCAGGCTCCCCTCGGGGGCAACGCAAGGCACCCTGGTAAACAGCACTGGCCGCTACCAGCCAGCTGGCTGTCCATCGCCGGGGCGGACCATCAATTAGAAGTTAATGAGATTCTAAGGTAAGTGGTACTTCCCTGGCGCGGCCGGGCCAGTAGCTATTTTCATGGGTAGATTATCTCACGTCAGGGAATTGCTCATCCTGGCAGGTGGAGGAGAGAAGTCTCTTGGCTACAGTCAACCTGCTTACCCTCTGGGGACCCAGACTCAAAGCGGATATGGCACAGACCCATGGCCCACCCTGTCTTGGGTGAGACCAAGACAGTGGCCTCTCTGTGGCCAGGCCTGTCGTTTCCTCCAGGGTGGGGGCTGTTGGTAGGACCCCAGAGGACACAGGGGCCTCTCAACACAAAAGCCCTCTCCTCTCAGGGCCAACCTGCTGGAAAGAAGGCAGGTCTTTGGGGATGGGAGGGAGGCAGCTGCTTCACCAGGCACCAGGTGGAAGAGGCCTGGAGACCACGGGGCCTGGGCAGGAGGGCAGGCTAATACCCCGTGGGCCTCGGTGACCCCACCCCAGAGGAGAAGGGTGGTGGGTCGGAGAGAGAGTGACCCTGTTCTCCCCCTGTGGTGGGTTGGCCTCGGCATAGGAACAAGGGGCCCACCCAAAGTCACCAAGCAAGACGGGGCCTGGGTGAAGTCCTGAGAGGGCTGGCAGGGGGCCGGGGCAGCAGGGAAGGGCCAGGCCCCCACCCGGAAGAGCACAGTGGCTTATAAGGCAGGAACAGCAGGAGCAGCAGAGAGGGCAGGGGTGGCAGTGCCTCATCCCTCGTGCCGGAGCTCAGGGGGCCTCGTTAGAGCCCATCGCGTTGCCTTTGTTGACATAGAACGGCCGGTAGTGAGACTGTGGGGAGACAGAGAGGTTAGGGAAGCTGACGGCCCCGAGCCCGCCGGCCAGCCCTCCCCACGCCCGGCCCCCTGGAAGCAGCAATGGCCCAAACCCCAACAAGTCCAGGGGCCCCGTGGCCAGACCCACGAGATCTATCTACTCAGGGGGCCCCTACTGTCACCAGAATCTGTGAGCTCGGATCCTAACTGGAGTTCACTCCTGCCAGATGGCTGATGCGCTGCAGCCTCCGCCCGCACCAAGGCTGTGGCGCCTTCCACTCCATAAAGCCCAACAACACTGTGCTGAGGGTTTTATATGGACGAACTCGTTTAATTTTTACAACCACCCAATTAAATAGGTTACTATTATCGTATCCACTTTATAGTCGAGCAAACCAAGGCACAGAGAGGCTAGGCAACTTGCCCAAGGTCACTCAGCAGGTGAGTACGGGATCCAGGACTGACGCCCCAGCAGCGTGGCTCAGAGTCCACCCCACCTCCCACCCCCAGGCTTCCATATCGCTTCTTGAGTCTCAAGGACTTCAAGCATCTGCTTGTCCCCAACAAAGAAGGTGCAGACAGGCAAACAACTGCACCTGCTCCCCGTGGGCCTGGGCCCCCCAGCCCTGGGCTCCCCACAGCCCTGTTGCCTCCCTCAGAGGTATTCAGGGAGCGTCTTCTCGGGACACTGCCAGCGACATCTCTCCCAGCCTTCTCTGTGTATTGCGACTTGTACCAAGCAGTGTCCCCCTCTCCTCCTAACCCCTTTTCCAGGTCCCGAGAATTTAGCTGGTCTTTCAGGATGAAATGCAAAAGCAAAATTTAGCTGTTGCTTGGCCATGTGAACTGTCCCCCTAGAGGTCTCAGGAAGTGGGCTTGTCCCTGAGCTGGGTCAGAGACTGAGCTTGCCCTGCCCACTGACCCCCATACAGAAGACACCACCCTCCCACACCCCCCAGGCTGTTCTCAGCCCCCGCCTGGCCCTGCCTGCCCTGGCCCTGCCCCTCCAGCCAGCACCCTGCCTGCACTTGGTCCGCAGCTGGACTAGGCCCAGAGGGTGCAGGCCTGAGCGTCAGAGCTCAGACCTCAGCTAAACCACTGGTTACCAATGGAAGAAACTGAGACCCAGGGAGACAAAGTCACATGGCTACTCTGCAGGGCTCAAAGCAGAGCTGGGAACAGGTCTCTAACTACCCCCATGCTGGCCTGGACCCCCAAACGGTTCACAAGGTGAAGTGAGTGGCACTGGGCATGGCAGAAGCCTTTCCTTCAGGAAGGCCAGGTCCGTAACGTGGACTGCAGGTCAGTGAACAGCACCGTCTTAAGAGCCTGGAGTGGTAGGTGAGCAGGAATGTGGCCCCGTGACACCCACAGGTGCCCTCTCTCCATTCCTGCCTGGCTCAGGGGCCTAGCTCCGGAGAGTTAGAAGGGCATGAAATCATCCAAGCCATCTGATTCCTGTTTCAGGGAGAGAAACTGAGGCACAGGGGAGAATGACTCATACAAGGTCACACAGCAGGTTGGCAAGAGGACTGGGGCTGAGGCCCAGGCAGCCCGATACCCAGGCCAGCCTCTGCCTGCTAGCACCTGGCCCCCTTCCCCCAGCCCTGAGAGCTCGCTGGACACTGGGACGCTGCACTGCCAGAGTCTCAGGTGGTGATGCCCTTTCTCTGCAGGGACCAGGCTCTGGGAAGGTAGGGGGAATGTGGCAGGGAGGCCAAGGGCAGAGTCCCAGAGGAGGAGGCTTCTTTTCCTCTCCTATCTGTTTTTGCAGCGCCGCTGCTGCGGTGCCCCGGAGCCCAGCTCCAAATTACACACGCGATCATTTAGCTCCCATCACCAGCAAATTAAAGTTTCTTTCCAATTAAACCAGCCCCAGACACTCTTTGTGGTCCAGAGCGAGTCACCTCCCCATGCTCCAAATGCAAAGACGGCAGGAGCCCAGGGCTCAGCAAACCCCTGATGCTATCCGCACAGCAGAGCCATCGGCGGCTCCTCAGCAGGGCCTGGTGTGGGCCTCAGAGAAAAGCTTCAGGAAGCTGGAGAGCAGCCTAGGAGTCCCTGACCCCCGAGGTCCTGGGCAAGGCTCGGGCACATGAGGTCTAAGGGGCCGAGGGGATCACTAACCCCACAGAGGTCTTCCCACTCCTCCAAGATGCCAGGGCCGGGGTGGCCTGGAGCCCTCGCGGTGCTGCTCTTCTGATGGCCTGGCTTAGGATCATGTTCTACTGAACCCCCAATACGCCTCTTCCTAGCATCCCAGCCTCTCCCACGCCATCTCCCCCACATTATCATCCCAATGGCCTCTGTGCTGTCAGAGCTGGAAAAGTGCCCCAGGGAGGTGGGACCCATCTCCAGGCCCATCCTTTGGAGGAGACTTTTACAGTCTCAGAGCTGGTGGAGGATGAGCCACCAAGTGCAGAATCCAACAGTCACTCACCGAATAAAGAACCAGGTGGCCCACTTCACAGATTAGAAAACTGAGGCCCAGACAGAATGTGCTTACCCAACTCCCTCCCCATAAGCCCTGGATCTCTATGGGTGTTATGGCCACTGCTGCCTCCTCCCCCATGCATGGCCCAGAAAAGGCCTCCTCCTCCCACAGACCCTGGGACATGAAGACCAGTGGCCCTGGGAAACCCCTTCCATGCCCAGGCTTCTGGTCATGCCTGTGCCCAGCTGGTCCCCTGGCAGCATCTTACTCACCAGCACAGACTGCTTGCCGGATTTCCAGGTCTGGGGCTGGGCCTTAGGGGTCTGGCTGCGGATGAGGGAGGGATAGCCTGGGAAGACAGGAGGCTCTGTCAGAGGCAGGACCGGCTGGTAGTGGAGCAGCACAGCTGCTATCTCTAGGACCACCAAGCGCCATCCAGCCCCTTACCCAAGACGGCCACCTGAAGAGGTGTACAGCAGCCTGGCACTGCCACTGACAACTGAAAACCCGGGGAGGCCAGCCAAAGGAGGAAGCAGGGAGGCAGGCAGAGGAGGAGCCTGCCAAGCAGCAGGCGAGGTGGCCCCAGCCAGGTCAGCACCACACTGCCCTGCAGGGATTTCCACCCACCCCGGCTCACACCATGGCCCCTCCCCGCCCCACCCCCAGCCCACAGCACTGCCTGAAGAACCTTCCTGCAGGAGGCGCTCCCGACTCCCCAGTGCTGGGAGGATATGAGGCTTCCTCTCTGCCAAGCCCCACTTGTGCCAAGCACCGAGCCAGGCACTTGGCTTGCAGCGGGCTCCTCATTCAGCCCTCCCTGTGTCCGGGAGCTCAGCAGTGTGCCTGACTCGCCCAGCGGGCAAGCAGCGGTCAGGACTGGAAATCAGATTTTGCCAAACTCCAAAACCCTTATGCCTGCTCCTTCCACCAGGCTCCACCGCTCCACGGCCTCTAGCAGGAGACTGGGGCCCACAGAATGGCAGTGAGTTTCCAGGGTGGCTGCCCCCCAGGGTTAGGACAGCAGGCCAAGAGAGGACCAGAGCAGGTGGCACTGCCTGGGCTTGATCAGAAGGTGCCAGCCCCAGGCCCAGCAGCCACTTTCCTTGCCCTTCCCCTCAGTCCAGGGGATCCGTAAGGAGCGCTGGTCCTCAGAACAGGGAAAAGCACTCTCAGCCTTGGCCATCAGCCTGCAGGGACAGGACACAGTCTGGGAAAAAATAGGCTGTGACTTGGATGCTGAGAAGCTCAGGAAATAAACGGGGTTTGTCCTTGGACAGTCCCCTGTCCAGCAAGACTGTGCCTGCCCCCCTGGGGACAGCCTTCTCCTGCCCTGCTCTGCACCAGGATGAGCAGGCCAGGCCCAGATCACCTGCAGCACTTCCCCATGACACTGAGCAAGGTGGCAGGGCAAGGAGACAGAGCCAGGACCCCAGGGTCCTGAGTGGAGATTGAGAGAGGGAGGATTCACACCTCACCTCCCAATAACCAGAAAGAAAATCCCATGGCAGCCACCAGAGGGGGGAGGATGGGGCTGGGCAGGGAGGGGTGGCCCAGGGAAGCAACCTTGAGCAGTGGTAGAAATCCAGATAGAGAGTGAGTGAGGGTGGTAGCTGGGGACATGCATCCCTCTGGGGAGGAGGGACCAGGGCACCCTAGAAGTGTCAGAGAACCCCCACAAGGTTCTGGTCATGCCTGTGCCCAGCTGCCCTGGTATGGGAGAGGGAAAAGGAAGGGTTGGAAAACGGGCAGGTACCAGGATTATTTTTAAACAGCCCACTGCGGTCCAGTGGCTTGGAAAACTCGGCAGTGGCCTGTCCCAAGGTGGTGAACTGATAGGGGGTTTTCCCAGTGCCTGCTGGGAGAGAGAGAGGTGTTAGCGGCAAGCACTGGCCAGCAGGTCGGAAGCCCTCACTCCCTGCCGGATCTATTCTGCACGCTCTGTGCTTGGCAGCCCTTTCTCAGGCCCTGGAGCCCGCAGACAGCCCAGGCACTGTCCCCACCTGTGGGCTGCTGACAGAGAGTGGATGGGCTGGGTCCTGGCAGGTTGGGGCTCTCCTGGCACACAGGGCAGCACCTATCTGGAACCCTCTTGAGGGCCATTCCTGAAGGGCTCCACAAACTGATCTGCATGAAAGTAGGAATGTTCTGGGCTCATCCTCCGAGGCATGGGAGTCCCTCCCAGGACCAGGCCTGAGACAGGAGAGTCTGTGCAGGCCCATGGGGCGATGTCAGGAGGCATCCAAACCATGCCCAAGGGTGGCTGTCTTCCGGGCCAGGTGACCTTCAGGCCAGGCTTGACCGAAAGCAAGGAAGATGTCTGCTGGTCAAGACGAGCCCCAGAGCCGCCCAGGCCAAGCTCAGAGACAGGACATGCCCTCCTTTCTGTCCCTTTCTCCTCCACCTGGCTGGTTCAGCCAAGAACCCTGCTCCAGGTATGGGCTGGACTAGCCTGGAAGAGACTGCTGGGTGATAAAGCCACCCTAGAGGCCTCGCTGATGAGTGACTGCCTCACAGCCCCTTCCCTCCTGCTCTCTGCCCACCCCCGGACTGCTGATCCTTTCTTCCAGGCCAGTAATTTGGGTGTCAGAGGAGTTGGGGTACTCTCACCACAGCCCACCAGAGCTGACCCTAGGACCTAACAGGAGAGACGGGAGGGCCCTAGGCCTTCTGTAAACCAGGGTCTGGTTCAAGTCTGCCCCTCAAGATGACCCCAATCCTCTAGGGAGCAGGAGACACCAATCCCTCAGGCTGGCCCAAGAATTCTGGGGAGCACAGTAGGCAGGGGGTGTCAGAGTTCAGGGGAAAGAGATCACACCTGGGAGGCCTCGCAGTCATCTGGCCCACCTTCTCCAGAGCGGCTCCCTCTGGACTGGCTCTGTAGGATACCGAGGGTGCGCCATGGCCCAGGGGCCTGGGAGTCACTGGGCCCACAAAGTTAAATAATCTCTGCAGCAGGAAGACCCTGCCCTAAGCTCTAGTATCCTGGGCTCATGGCCCATGGGGGCAGGGCACAAGAGTACTGAGGAGTCATCCTTCCCCCACCTGAGTCCTCTTGTCACAGCACATCTTGAGGGACGAGTGTATGACGCAAGGAACCCTGAGAATGCTGGTGTGGCCCAGCCCCACCTTCTGCCCTCCTTACAGCAAAGCTTTTGGCCGTTTTGTTTTGTTTTGTTTCTGGCCAGGACTCTGGTCTCCAGAAGGCGAGGGAGGAAGGCAGGAGAGCGGGCAGAGACAAGCAGGGCAGCTGCAGAGGAACAGCAGGCGACCAGCTGGAGGGCTCACCTTTCAGGGAGAAGGAGGAGCTGCCCTGGACTGCGGGCAGGTCGTCGGAACTCTGAATGCTGGAGGAGTACTCCCAGACCCGGGAGGTGTAGTTACCTGGCAAGGCAAAGAGGGGCATCAGACCTCAGCGGGGCGCAGAGGAGGGAGAGCAAGACCAGGACACTGCTGATTCTGTGAGTCTCTCCAGCCTCTCGCCACCTCCCAAGACAGGATGCTGATGTCCCTAGTCATGCCTTCCCCCATTTTTCCATCAAAGTTATCTTTTTAAAACTTAAAATGTTCCTGCCCTACCTAAAGGCCACTGTCCTCAGAATAAGGAGCCAAGTCCTTTAAATAGGCCCCCACCACCCTACCCTCTTCCTGGCTGCATCCCCTCCTCTCTGTCCCTCAGCATCCCTCACTTTCTCTCCTGCCTCCTCCCCAAAGTGAAATCATGGAGTGAGTCTTCACGTGTGAGCATCCACACCACCTCCACCAAGTCCACCAAGTCGGGGTGTGCCTCAGCCCTACACCTCACAGCACTTACATTCCCTGTCCTCTGGGATGCAATTACTTAATTAAATCCCAATGGGGCTCCATGGGGCCTGTGGAAATACCTGACTGGCCCTGAACCACACCTGGTGCCTGGCCCAGAGCCCGGCCTCTGAAAGGTGCTCACTGTCTGGTGGATGGTGAATGTATGAGTGACTGAATAAACACATTCCAACACATCCTGAAACTTGGGTACAGAGGCAGCTGATAGAACACCTGGATTCCTGTTTGCCAGGTTGAACAGGCTAACAGATGTTCCTGTGCAAATACGTCCCTGTCATCTAGAGGAGAACGTGGTGGGGAGGTGGTGGGAGGAACAGCAGGGCACCATGAGGATGTCCCCGCCTGGACTTGGGCCCCAGACATGACGAACGCTCTCCAGCCCCTTCTCAGTAGGCCCAGAGCCTCTCCAGTCAGCTCTGCTCTGCAGCAGGGGCCACCGGTCCCTGTGTCCTCTGACATAGCTGCCTGGGGGAGGACAAGGATACCATTTGGGCTCAGTGGTCAGAGGTGCTGGGGCTGGGCCCTCCCTGGTGCACATCCTTCCTACAAGGATCTTGGGAAGCTCCCGTGCCAGGCCTTCATGGCCCAAGACCCTGGGAGACAGAGAACTTGCCCTTTCCTTCTTCCTTCCCTCTCTCTGGCTTTCAATGACTGTTTTCTAGGCTCTTCCACTCTGGGCCCTGAGCTTGCAGCTGTGAGCAGGGCAGATACCACTGCTGCCTATTGCAGATATGGAGGAGAGGGCCGTGGTGGGTCCCAGCTGGGAATCTCATGCTGAACAGAGAGGCCTGGGCATGCCCTGTCCACTCCAATCTCCATGGGCCTGGTCATCACTGAAGTGTCCTTCCAGTGTTGGTATTGCGTCTGGGTAGAACTGGTGGAGCTGGCCTAGTCCCCTTCCTCTCCACACATGGTAGGCAGCACCCAGGAGCCAGGGTCTCCCAAAGCTGGTGTTTACTGAGCACATGGCCCTGTCCTGGCACATAGTGGACCTCTCACCACACGAAACAGAGGGAGACCCTGTGCTTGGCGCCTCCCCCAGGGGAAGGCATGTCCCAGCCCCCATTTCACCTCTTTTGGGTCTTAAGGGATCTCCTGCTCAACCCATGTGACAGCGGTGGCTCCTGGATTTGCAGGGGTGGCTCCATTTCCTACCATGCCTTCCTTTCCATCCACAGCTAAGCTCATTTGTTTTAACCAACATACAACTTCTCAGTGCAGGAGTACACAAACCAGCAGAGGTCTTCTGCAGAGACACTTGCTGGGAGAGGTCCCCAGACCTTACCCCAGGGGTGCCGCTCACCCTGTTTCCTCCAACTCATCCTCAGGGACAAGAAGAGCACATGGACCCAGGGATCTACAGTGATGCTGAGGTTCCAGCAGCTTCTCTCCAGCCTAACTAATGATGCTGTGTACACCTGTGCACACCCACGTGTAGACACACACACACACACACACACACACACACACACTTCAAGCTCAGTAGAAGCCCATCCTGTCCCAGCTCCCCACATTCATCTTCCTCGGAGCTCCTGGCCCCCACCCCAGCCCTGGCCCCCAGCCCACCTCCGCCTATACCTCACATGAGTTCTGCCCAGCCTTGAGATGAGCCCCTCCTACCTTTGGTGCCATAGAGGTTGTTGAAATTCTTCTGATTGGTCTCCTTGGAGAGGCGGCTGGGGGACCCCGGCTGGTAGGATGTCCGGGCGCCCCCTATGAAGCATACAAGGAAAGCTTGTCATTGCAGAAAGGTGGGTCTGGCTCAACTTGGGGTGCCATAGACTCTAATTTGGGGTCTTGAGCAGGATCCTAAACAGGTCTCCAACTGCCCACCAAGGGACCTGGACTCCACATTAAGAGGAGTCACTGGGTCTAGCATTAGGCTGTCACTTAATTACCATCTAAATGGAGACCCCTTAGGGAGTGAAGAGGCTCAAGGTTCCCTGAGCACTGGGGTTCACCTGGAGAGTCCTGAACATACTAATACATAGGATCACTCTGTTTAGGGGGCCTGGGGGCCATGAGGAGGCTGACAAGCCAACAATTCCCTCCTGAGCCAGTCCCCTGTGCGTGAGAGGAAGGAGAGGCCCTGGTGATGACAGGAGCAGCTGGGCCACTGGCTGAGCGAGGGCCGAGTCACCAGCAGGTGGCCAGGTAATCTGGTACCAGCACAGCACTGTGGCTTACCCCAGGCTATGGGAGCCTTACAGCCCATGAACAAGACAGAGTGGATCAGTATCCCCACTTCCCAGATGCAGAAAATGAGCTCCCGTGTGTGCCAGGACCCTCCTGTTGGGTCCACCCATTCCACTCCCCAAGCCTGGCCCACCAGGGCCAGCACCAGCCAGTCCTTCTAAACTCCTGCACCTGTGCTGGGGATCCCCTGCACCCTCCTCCTGGGCACACAGCTCCTCATTCAGGGAGCCACCAGACCCACTTCTCCTGAGAAGTCCCAGCACTGCCGGACCTCCCAGGCCCAGGGCCTGGTGACCTTAAGTGGCCTTGTTTCCCTGATATTGACAAATCTCCTTGACTTCTCCCTTGCATCTCCTCTACCCAGCCCTCCAGAAGACAGATGTCCTGCCCCTCCTGTCCCCAATGCAGGGCTCTGCTTACTGTGCTGGGACAGGCATACCGGGAGAACCGGTTTCTTCCACCTACAGATGTCACAGATTGACTCAGAGGGGCAGAGCTGGGAGGGCTTCTAGCCCTGGGGGCAACTGCATCTTCTCAGACATGAACGCTGAAGCCAGATGGAACACTGACCACCCCAGGTCACCCAGACTCTGGGACTCTCCAGGTGACATCTAGGCAGGTTGATTCTTCCCTCCTTGTGGCCTGAAGGGAGGTCACACTGGCCCTCAGTCTCTCACTGAGCAAAATAGTCAAGGAGGAGCCATTTGGGGACTCGCTGGGTCAACAGGGCTGATCTAGGGACAAGGGGGAGAGCCACAGGCACCCAACAGTCATGTTGGGTCCTTCCGAGGAAAGTGACACTGGGGTTGTCTGGTTAGTGCATTTCATACTCTCACACAACTGGCCCAAAGAGGCAGTGCCCTGGGCAGGGGAGTGGGCACACTGGCTAGGAGGCCTGGCCCACACCAGGAATGTTGAGGAGGGGACCGGGCACCTGGCCGCTGGAAGAAGCTCAGGTATTGTTTTCAAATTGGGCTGGGCACAAAGGTTCCTCTCCAGTGAGCTCATTCCTCCAAATCCCCAGCCCCTCCTGTTGTAGGTATGCGAGTGACAGCTCAGAGCCTCGGGTTCACCTTCCCCAGGTCTCCTTCGTCCCCTTCCTAGGGGTCCCCACTCTTCTCCTGGTCCCCCAGTCCCACATGTGCAAGTGTACAACCCCCTCCATCCTGGGCTGATGGCCTGGCACACCGTCCTTTATGTAACAGGCATTGCTGTGGTTTGTTGTTGGTGTCCAAGAATGTGCCAGTGCTCTCCCAGGACAAGGACAGGGAGGCCCTGGTCTAGACCCCACCAGACTGTAACCCTGCAGGCTGGGCTTCTGCAGGACCTAGGGAGAGAAGGTTCAGGGGCCAAGTGGCCAGGTGAGGAACGAGGAGAAGCAGCAGCTGACCCCAGAGGAGGCCCCAGAGAAGGCAGCCCTCCCAGGGCCTGAGCCCTAAGAAACCTAAGTGGAAGCTCCACACAGCTCCAGCCCAGCAGAGGGGAGCAAGAGGCAGGGGCAGGACAAGCTGACTGGGTCAGGGATGGAGCCCTCTGAGGAGTAGGGTGCTGGGTAATTTGTCATCTAGTTAGTTTACACTTGTCACTTGTGAGGGTGAAAGCAGGTGCTGTTCATAATCACACCAAGACAACAGCCAGGACTTCCCCAGGCATGTTGGAGGTAGTGTCACTCCACCTAAGAGGAACCTGGCTGAGAGTTGTTCCATGGACTCAGGGGGGCTCTTGAGAAGCAAGAGGGGTACCAGACCTAGGCCAAGGAGGCTTGTCCTTACCCTTGGGTGTGAGGTACATGGAGTATCTCTTCATGGTGTCGGGCGCACTCCACTCGCTCCCGTAGCTGGTTGTGTAGTTGTTGATGTAGCGATGGTCACCACCTGGGCAGAAAGAGGTCAGAAAATGGAGAGGAGGAACTGACCCACTGGGACATGCCTGGCTGGCTGAGAACCCATAGCCCACCCGCTCTGTGCTGGGGACAATCAAGGTCCCAGAGCCTCAGAGTGCTGCTCTTCAGTCTTTGGAGTGGGGCAGGGGAAGTCTTGCCTTGAGTCACTCACTCTGTTAGACTGTCCCCTTGTGAGCAAGGTCGTGTGCACAGTACTTTCAGTTTATAAGGGACTATGATATCCATTTCTCATTTGGTCTGTACTTTGACCCTTGAGCAGGTATATAAACCTCTCTCTGTGACAGGTAAGAAAAAAAAGGCTCAGGAGATGAGAGAAGCAAATTGACCCATGTCACATAGGTCAAGAAGAGCAGCATTGGGGTTTGAGTCCTGATTCCCCACTTCACAGCTCAGCCCCAGTCACTCCTGGCAGTCACAGGTGGTGGATCAAGGTCCCAGTAAGGACTTCCATGGTCCAGGAATCAAGGCAGCTGAGCACTTAGATGCACCCACCTGAAGACTCTGACCAAAAGAAATCTACCGCTGGATGCTCCACCTCTCCAAGCTGTCCTCCACCCCATTCCTGTCTCCTACTACTTCCCTTTCTTCTACTTTCTCTGTCCTTCCCTTTCTCTCTCTCCTGGGCAAGAGGAGGGAAGTGTGGCTCAGACACATCCTTCCTCTCCAGCCCCTGCATCTAGCAGGTCCTGGCACTCAGCAGTAGTTCAAAGAATAAATGCAGCCAGATGCAGTGGCACATGCCTGTGATCCCAGCAACTCGGCAGGCTGAGGCAGGAGGATCACAAGTTCAAAGCCAGCGTCAGCAACTTAGAGAGGCCCTAAACAACTTAGGGAGACCCTGTCTCAAAATAAAAAAGGGCTAGGGATATGGCTTTGTGGTTAACCATCCCTGGGTTCAATCCATGGAACCAAAAAAAAAAAAAAGAATAAATGCATACACAACAAGGTAGCCCCGCCACCTGCCCACTGAGCCAGGATGAAGGTGGCCTGCTGCCTCTTACTCCCTGTCTGTGAGGGTGGGAATGAGCCTACTATCAGGGAGCAGTAGATAGTCACTCCACAGTTCACCTCACCAGCCTCCTATCCACCACCTCTTACAGAAGACACCAAAAATAACAACAGAGGCAAAGGAGGCTCCCCGGGTGACTCCAGGCACAGGTGCAGAGCTGCTGATTCAGCAGCTCCCCTTGCTCTCGGCTGCCACCTCACCACAGACCTTGTAGGGGACGCAGGGTCACACCTGCACAGGGACCAGGCCAGCACCTTCATGACCTAGAAATGGGATGTGAGCAACTGGAAGGCTGGATGGTTCCTGCAAGGCTCACAGGTCCAGTCAGGGCCTGGCCATCTTCCCAGGTCTTGTCAAGGTTTGAACCCTGGGACAATGATCACCACACCCATCAACCGATGACACCTTCCAGATGAGAAGACCCAGGGGACTGCATAGCACCCCTGCCCAGCGACCTGCACTTTGAGAACATGCTTCTCTGAGTCTCAGCCTTCTCATCTGTAAAATGCAATGCTCCACAAGGGGACCGTAAAGCAACAGAAGTGAAGAGCTCAGCCCTATGCCCGGGCTTTCAGGGAGCTCAGTCATCTTCTGCCATCTCTATCACCACCAGGAGCACTGCTATTGTCATGAGGAAGAGGCTGTCAGTGCCATTTAAAGTCAAATGATTGTCTTGCTAAAATGTCTTATCTGTCCTCAGGTATAATTGAATGTCCCTTTGTATTTTACAGGGAGGCTGTGTGAAATCAACAAGATATATAGGTGTCCCTGTTCCTGACCCTGGTCAGTGACCTACTCAGCCCCTCTCCTCCTGCAAGAATCCTGAGCTCCATCTAGGATAGACAGGGATTATTTCCTTTAGTGTGCACGGGTGGAAGATCTTAATCAGGCTGCATTCTGAAAACCTCATTCTAAAAGCTGGGCTGGGCTTGGGCCACTGGGTGGGCCCTTGGGGAAAGTGTTCAGGCTTCAGGCCCTAAAGGGACTGGGTAGAAAAAGACTTAATAGGGGTAGTTTCTCAGGTTTGGAGAGTCTGTGAGATGATTCAGTTGACCTCTGCAAGGATAGCATGATTCAGAAGAGGTGCTGATTTCAGGGACACATTGAGTCACAGAGACAGGCTATATCCTGTCGTCCCCAGCCTATCAGGCCAAGTGCAGCCTCTGGGCTCAACACTACACAACACAGCCATGGTGACAGGTAAGTCCTCCCTCTAAGAACAGGTGCAGTTCTAAGTCACTTCTGCTGGAGTTTGTAAAGCTACCAGCTTGGCATCTAGCCCACACAACAACAGCATGCACACATCTGCTGGGCTGGGCTGGACAATCAGATGTAGATCTGACTGAAACCAATCCCCAGGTTTGAGAATGATCCACAGAGAGGAGGCACTTATCCAGCCAATGCCCAGGAATCACCCTCCTCTGGAGACCCCTTGTAATAGCTGCAAACTCAATGGGGATTAGAATCCCTGAGCCTGAGTTCAAATCCCCATAAAGGGATGGGTGGATGAAAACCATGAGGGGCCAGCTAGCTAGGTGCCAACCTGCACCAGGAGGCAGGAACTGACCTGGGAGGGAAAAGCTCATGACCTTGGGCCTGCACACAGAGGGGACCTACCGTTCTCCATGTGGTTCCTCTCAATGAAGTTACGGCTCAAATCAGCCTTGCACATCTTCTCAACATGGCGCATGCACACGTTGAGCAGGTCATCCTTGAAGTTGCCCAGTGACTGCCCCAGGCCCTCTCCCTCCAGCAGGACATGATAGGTGGGTAGGGGTGGGGGGAGAGAGTAATTGCTCATCAAAGCACCAAATTCCTACCAAGAAAGGAAAGAAGCCATTAGTTTCCTAAGTTTTTCTGGATCTTTTGCAACAAGGGGGCTCTTATAGCCCAGCTGGAAGACTCAGTGCTGGGAGCCAGAGGAGCTGGGTTCTAAAATCAGCTAATTAACTAGCCTCACTTTTTCTCACTAGGCAAAAGTTCAATTAAAATCTACAGATGCAGCTGGGTGCAGTGGTGTGCACACCTGTAATAGCAGCAGTTCAGGAGGCTGAGGCAGGAAGATCACGTGTTCAAAGCCAACCTCAGCAATTTAGCGAGGCCCTAAGCGACTCAGCAAGATCCTGATAATAAAATATTGAAAAGGGACTTGGATGTGGCTCAATGGTTAAGCTTCCCTGGGTTCAATCCCTGGTACTTAAAAAAAAAAAAAAAGTCCACAGATGCTAACATCCTGATGGCTTTAGCATTCAGATATATGACTCCATGGTTTACACCTCTAATCTGGGTGCAGGATTCCTACATCACAGGGGTTTTTGAGAGGGACACAGGCTACAGTGAGATTCCAGGAGAAAGCAGAAAGAAGTGCAAGGAATTACCTGAGCATTCTGGGTCAGTCTGCAGTTTGGGTGAGACAGGGACCTTCCACCTTTACACGCCTCACTCCATCCTGTCTCTGGACATTCGTGCTTCTCCCCTCCCTTCCCCTCACTGGAGAATCCCTCCTCCTTCTCAAATTCTAAGTGGCCTGCAAGACCTTATTCAGACTCCTTCTCCTGCACAAAGTTGTCCTTAGATTGCTCCAGCCTGCTCACCCTTCCCTGAGTTTCCACAGGCACTTATCTCCTGAGCCACATGCTTTATCATTTAATTACACGTTTTCCTATATTGTTCCCTAATTGTACATGTCTTATCTTCCCAGCTGGATTGCAGCTGCTTGGGGGCAGAAAAACATGTTTTATACTTCTCTATTCACCACAACACCTAATAGAGTCTGGGCATCAAGGAGTGCACAAAACATTCTAGCAGACAGAAAGATGGATGCAAAACTGACTAGATAGCCAAACTGACTAGATCAAAGATAACAAGTATGCAGCACTCACACCATTCCTCCCTTACCCATGGCAGACATTACTAATCCACCACAGAACTCCTTCCCACTGTAACCCAGAGCACTGCTAGGACATATCAATTGAAGATGGTACAAGGTGGTGTTTGTGTACCATCTTTAGAGGAGGTAGGGAAGTAGATTGGGTGGAAAAATTAAATGGGCAGATGGAAGGAAGCATGGATGGATGGATGGAAGGATGATTAATGAGGATGTGGGAAAGTGGATAGAATGAGAAGGGAGAGGATGGCGGGATTTAGGGACTGAATGGTGGAAGACTCTGTTTTCACCTGCAGAAATAGCACCGAGTCGCTGATGCTATGAAGCTGTTCCCGGATCTGCTTGTCCTCATGAAGCACCTTGGCCCTCTCGTCCAGGGCATCCACGATCACCTTCACTTGGTCCACAGCATCCTGCTCCCGCTGCTCCAGGGCAGCCCTCACTTCCTCTTTCTGCTTCTCCAGGTCACGCACCAGGTCCCGGAAGTTCTGCTCCAGGATAGCCTTCTCATTGGTGGTGAAGCTCTAGGTCCAGAATCAGAGGAGGGATGAGAGTTTCATTAAGGAAAACTACCTCCCTAGGGGAGCACACCCTTAGGTTCTCAACTCAGGATCAGGGCATTCCCAGAGCCCTAACTTGGCGAGACTGTCTGGCTATGAATCTCATTTAAAGGCATCAAAGAGGGACAGAGATAGCCAGTGTTTTTACAGCCTATCCTTCCTTATCCACCTGTGGCTCCTTCCTCTGGGGGGCCAGAGGTTAACCCAAGCAACCATTCCACACTTGAGTGATTCCCTGTGTGCCTAGACATTCTCCCAAGAGTCAAGGTGTGCTCACTCAAACCCCAACCAGAACAAAACACCAAATCAAAAAGTGTATTGTCTGGCTGTTGGTGTGGCCAGGATCAAGAGACAACGATTTCAGATACGATTTATAAATCCCCAAACCGTGGCAGACATACTTCCAGTCACAGTGGCACAAGTAGAAGAGAAATGGTGTGTATTTGGTGGCTGGGGAGTCTGGGGGGATGGGCAGAGCACACATTAGCAGACACTAGACAACACACTGGAGGGTGGGTCTGGGATGTGCTCTGCTAAGATGATATACAATGAGTGTTAGGTGACAGGTGGGATCCTATCTGGGTGCTAGGTGGGAATGCAAAAGGGTCAGGGAGAGAATCCACAACAAACAAGTGTGGGATGTCACTGAGGGCCAAAACCTTGAACAGGAACCAAGGCCTGCCTCCTCCCAGGCAGGACAGGCAGGGCAAGTGCGGTGAAGGGAGCCTGGGGGCTGCTTACCTTGATGCGGTCCTTCTCCTTTTGCCACTTTTCAGCTTCATCCTCAATCTCAATGATTTTCAGCTGCAGCTGTTCCTTTTGCAGTGACAGCTCTGTCTGCAGGAAAAGAGTCAGGGTTGGAGAAATTGAGAAGAAAGGGGCATAGACACAGAGATCTAGGGCATGGGCCCACCCAGGGATCCAAGTCTCAGGCAGGGCTCACTTGCATCCATTTCTCTGCCCAACAAACATCCCTCAGGACCTCAGACATGCCAGGCTCCATGCCAGACTCCATGTCAGTTACCAAGGGTCAAACACCATCTCCTTGTTCTCAGGTAACTAGGGCTGGCTGCCCTCATCATGCCTTTGTGGGGACTAAACCTCCCTTATCCCCGCACCCAACATGAGTGGGAGGGTGCTCACTTTGGGGGTTCTTGCTCCTTTCAACGGACCTGGGGCCACAGAGGGAGAAAAGAAGAGGACTGAGCCCAACCCAGCCAGGGAGTGTCTTGTGGCTGTAACTGTGTGCAACGTTTCTATGGCATGATGTGGGGTGTGTGTTGCAAGCAGGAACCGGGTTGCCGCCGGCCTGGGCTCTGTCTGGGCAGGCACAGCTATAAACCTGTTTATGGGAAGGAACACATTCTGCAGTTTGGGTGAGACAGGGACTTTTACCTGGGGTCTCTGGAGGAGGAGAAGGCTAGAGAATGAGGCTCGAAGGGTAGAAAAGGCTGGGATGGAGGGAGAGGACCTAGGACCCCTGCCCTCAGGCACATGGATGGTAGGGGTGTAGAGTGGGTTGGGAAGAGTCTCTATCAGGATGTGCTCATATCCACACTTGCCTTCCATGTGGGGAAAGGCCCTTCTCGGAAAAGCATGTCCAACTGAGGCAAGAAGTCAAGGCCAAGGCCACCAGTCTAGTCAAGAGGCACCTCTTTTGTTCTTCTGGGTCTCCTCTAGTGCTTCCAAAGTGCCTTCCAGCACGGAAGACAAGGGGTGATTTCTACCCAATAAGCAAGCAGCCAAGAAGCCTCGGATTGCTCAGGGTCTCCAGGACCACTGGGTTTTGAATGCGGAGGCCTACCTCTTTCTCTAGCCATCTCTCGGGGGAGCTCGTGAGAACAGTCAAGGTTCAACAAACCATGAGGAACATGGGCTCCATCAGCAGGAGTCATGAGCAGCCGGGGCCCAGAGCATCACCACACAGCACACCTCTGAACATCCCATCAGGCTAAGCAGGGGCCTGTGGGGTATCTGCTGAAAACACCCAGGGAAGTGGATCTGATGGTGCTTAGGTCTTCCTGGCCTTTGAGGAAATGGCACCAGAGGGTGTGGAAGGCATGGGGCATGAGGTACCGAGCTCCCCAGACAGGGAGCCCCTGCCTCCCCACAGCCTGCCCTTCAGCGACCACCACACTGTTGGGCTCCCCATGATCAAGACCAAGACGGGCTGTAGATCCCACAGCATAGAAAATGTCATTACCAGAGATGGAGATGGGTTGTTGAGAGGAGAGGAGCACAAGAAGAGGAGGGTAGGGACTTGGCCCGGTCCCTGGAACAAGGCTGGGAGAAGACACTGTGGTAGTAGAAACTTGATCCTCAGACACTCTGAGGATCCAGAGCTGGAAAGCCCAGAAAACAGGGTGGCAGATCCAGTGGCCAGGACCCTGAGAAGGCCAGGCCTGGGTGGCAGATCTGGGCTCTAGGGAAGAGACCAAGAGGCTGGACAACAGGTCTGTCCCAGGCGACTTTCCCATCCATGAAGAACTCCTGGGTGAGGCTTGAGGTGGGGGAGTGCTGCAAAACTCCCACCACACAGCTAAGGCGTCCTAACCTGAAGGGTGGAGGAGTTGGCATGTGGAGGAGGAGCACTTCACAAGGGCTGGTGACAGAGAGCAAAAGCACACCCTTTCCCACCCTCAGGCCCAGGCCCAACCCCAGTAAAAGCCCTTTTGCCAGTAAGCGGATGGGTCACCCTTCCATGAAATGAGCTATTGGGGAGTGGGGCATCCAGAAGGGAGCCTGCCCAGAGCACATGATGGGGAATCCAACAGTTAGCATCTGGTAACCGCCACCTACAGGCAAGGGCTTTTGTGAGTTGCTTAACTTCTCTGAGCCTCAGTAGGTCCAACTGTCCCACGGAGGTAGTAAGAGGACCTGCCTCCCATGGAGGATGTGGGATGGAAGATGATCAGGGACTGAAGATCCCAGAAAGCATCTGGCACAGAGCAAGCCTTGACTGAACAATGGTCCCCATCATCATTATTGTCACCATAATTGCAGGAATGAGGACAGAGGGATGGGCAGGTCTGTGGGACATAAGCAAGTGAAGGGAGAGGGCAGACGTGGTCAGGTGAGGTCTCAGGGGTGTTGGGTGGTGATTTCAGTGTATGTCATTGAATTGGGGTTTAGAAGTGGTATGGACACAGTCCAGGCACAGAGAGCAGTGTAAGGGGTACACAGAGGCCGGGAAGTCAAGACATTAGACTGAAAATGCAAAATAAAGGGTTAGATCATGAGTAACTGATGGTGGAAGGATACTAGGGAAACAGAACAGAGGTCAGAAGAGGGGAAGAGGGTAGACTAAGCACTGCCCATGGGAGGAGGTTTGACTAGAGAAGGTGAAGGTTAAGGAGCTGAATGTCAGGAGTGAACAGCTGTGCCAAAGGAACACCTAATAGAAGCTGTATGGTCAGCCCACAGGTGAGAAAATGTCTCACTTAGGTGAGCATGGAGGGAAAGAGAAAGGAGGGATGGAGTACAGGGGACCAGGGCACAGAGAGTCCAGTGCTGCCTAGAACATCTGGGCAAAGGCAGAGACAGGTCAGCCCCCTGGGAGTCCATCCTGTGTAAGAGAGGGTGGGGAGAGGGCAGCCAGCTAGCTGAGGTCTGAGAGCTGGAGTGTCTGCCAGCAGCCTGGGAGGGGAGGAGAAGAAGTGGCTAGTCTGGACATGTGTAAGGGCAGGGTCAGAAGTGGAGACGAGCTGTCTGCAGCAGTGGGTGGAAGAATCGGCCAGGGTGGAGAGGAGACTGGTCCTCCTTTTCTTTGGGGCACTAGGGAAGTCAGGCTTGGCTGGGAGGGGCCTGGCTCCCATAGCACAGCCAGCAAGATCAGACTTGCAGGGCACAGAGGGTTCTGAAAGGGTCCTGGGACCAGGATCTGTATGCTGCTAGAATGATCCTTTCTCTGGGATGAGTCCTACCCTGTCAAGGAGGAAGGCTCAGGGTAAGAGCTCTATGGATGTCTAAGAAGGCACTTCATATATGTTCAGCTCTTTGAGACTTATCCTATACAGGAAGTAATAGAACCTGGGAAGTTTCCAAAGATACTTTGTTCTCCTGCAACTCTAGGAGAGGAAAGGAAAATAACTTTAATTACTAAGTACATACTAAGTGCCAGGAATTTTCTTCTTTTTCAGGGTACTGGGTTGAACCCAGGGCCTCATGCATGCTGGACATGCACTCTACCACTGGGCTACATTCCCAGCCCAGGAATTTTCTTTAATTCTGTAAAAGCCCCCTTTTGCAAAAGTGGCGAGGTCTGAGTCCTCACAGTCAGAAAGAAAGCAGCAGTAAGGTCAAAAGGCAATGACAGGTCTCAGATCCTATTCTTCGACCTTCAGAGGCAATTCCAAAGGTGGTGGTACCAGGTTCTCCTCTAGAACATTGCCCTTCCTCCTTCATTCCTGCTAAACTAAGTCTACCTCATGGACTTCATCAATTCAACCTCTTCTCTTATTACCTCCCTTTTCCTCCCCATACCTTTGCCCGAGGCCCCAGTTTTCTCTCTCCTGATCCTCCCCCTACAGAATGCAGTTGAAGCCCCTGATGTCTGACAGGGCCTCAGCTCTCCACAGTCCCTCCCCTACTCATACCTCCCTCCTGCCTACTTCCTACTCCTCCCTGATTTTTCCCCTTCACCCTGCCTAGGCCTGTCCCTAAATGCTTCCTTTGTTTCGCTCTCCCACACTGGGTTGCATATCTCTCTCTCTCTCTCTCCCTCTCTCTCTCTCTCATACCTGAGATGGCACCTGTGTGGTCCACCCAACCTTGAAATTCTTCGAGGAGTGGAAGAGTCTGGCAATGCCTCAGCCTGGACCAGGCCTTTGGGTAGGTGTTGGCACACCCAAATACTCACCTTGACAGTTGTACCTGCATGGCCCCCAGGGAAGGGGAGATAGACCATGATCTTCCCCTAGTCTGAAATAACCTCATGGGCCGTGGGCTGTGACATTTGCCAAGTGAGTTAGTTAATTGCCAAATTTGTACTTCCAGACAAATGGTAATTATCCAGATAGGAATCTGAAATGCTGGGTAGATTTCCCTGTTTCCGTTCAGATGTCAAATGCCTGATATCAGTGCAACTGCTGGATTGGACACCCCCAGTCCCTTGTGCTTCCTCAGAGCCTCTGGACAGAGGAAGTACAAGCTGGGCCAAGAAAGGGCTCCCCCTGGCATCTGCAGATGAGCAGGGGGGCCTTTCAGAAGTCACCTCAGCTCCCTGGGTCTTGGTTTCCTCGTGACATTGGACTAGATTTCTGATTCCCACTCTGGTTGCACATCAGAATCCCTGATGTGTAAACATCATAGATTAACATTCAGACCCCAGGCCCCAATTCCCTGAATCAGAACGTCCTGGGATAAAGCCTGTTAATCTGTGTTTTAATAAGTCATCAAGTGATACCAACCCAAGGACAGCCACCTGGAAGCCACTGAACTCAGTGATCTCAAGGAGACCCTTCCAATTCTATGGGGAGAAAAGGTTTAAAATGGTGGCGAGAAATCCCAGCTTCACCCTCTCCCACACTATGCCTTGACAAGTCTTTCAGCATCTTTAAACCTGTTTCTTCTATAAAATAGGTACAATTCCCCACCCACAAGACCAGGCATTTGTAACCACGCACACGCCAGGCTCAGCACTAGCACACAGATGTGCTCCACACAGACTGAATTGCTACCTGCCTAGCTGCTGGTCACTTTGCTCCTGATTCCTCTCTCTAAATCTTTTATTTGGTTGTTTCCTCTCAGAATCTGGACAGGTCATCCTACCTCCTGTTTCATGCCCTTCCCAGAGCAGACATTTCTCCCTGAAAATCTCCTGGGACTGGGTCCAGGGCACCCTGGCCGATAGCCTGGCTCCTCATCTGAAATCTCAGCCCCACTGTCTGTCCAAAGAGCTTGCCTGCCCAGACCAGTATAGCTAGAAACTCAAAGACAAGGGGCATGCAACCCAGCAGTCTGTCAGCTCAGCCTTCCTGGAAGAGATGGGCAAAAAGATAAGAAATAAAGTCCAGGGCATGGAGAAAGGAATGAACTGAACAAAGCCATGCAGTGGAGACTGGATGAAGCTCCCAGGCTGAGCCCCTCCAAGTGACACTGGCTGGGTGTGATGGGCATGCGTATTACTATGCTGATGATACTGTTACCCCAGAACCTAGGCTGGATGGGGCGGTGCCTCCAGAACAGCCTGTCATCCCCCCAAGACAGGTCCTAACACCCTGGCCTGCTGCATAGGAGGGAACTAGACTAGATGGCAGGGACATTCGACACAGGAAAGGAGATACCTAATCCATTTTCATTTCACTAATTAACCTGTCTTAGAAAATATCCAGAGGTGGAGGGTGGACCAGTTGACATCATGGGACCCCCTTGTGATATTTGGGGTGAGAGGGGAAACATTGTGACATGGGTCTACCAGGGAAAAGACCATCTTATTGCTACAAACAGAGCCAAGTGATCTTTTCAGAGCATGGAGTTTGGGGATAACCAAGGCCCAGGAGGTGAGCACTTGCAGCCATGGGTGTCATCTTCAGCTCTAAGCGACTAACCCACGCTGGGCTGGGTTACCCCACCTGGCCTTCACCAACAGGCCTGCAGAACAGGTTCTTCCCAGGCTCCTTGCAAGAAGCTGTGTGTGGGCTGATGTCTGGGTCTGCAGGAGATGCCTCCCAAGGATGCCAGGATTGACATACTCAGTCCCTCTGATCCATCGACCCAAGACCCCTGCTCTATGCTATACCCCCCACCAACATTCCAGCAGAGCCAGGTCTAGACAAATGGCTTCAGCTTAGTCCCCTGGCTTCTCATCCCTGCTCTGCCTGCATATCCCTGTGCTTCAGGTGCACACATGTGTATACACACAGGCTGCCCAAAGATCCCCATCACAGCCCTGGTCAGAGGATCAGGCATTTTCTCCTAAAGCACACACATCCTGAATTCCATGCCCCCATGCCCTTCCCCTGAGGTGCTCTCAGACATTGGAAGAAGACTTAGGGGGCTTCTTCCACCCACCAGGATCTTGAACAGGTCCTTTGTTTCTCTGGGCCTGTGTCCTTATCCACAAGGTGCAAGAGGAGGCATTGGGATTTCAAGAATTCCATGAGGCCTGGCGTTCTGTCCTCTGTTTATTGTTTATTTTGTCATTCCATGTTTACTCCCAGCTGCTACTATGTAACTGGGAGGGTGCTCCCCAGTCCTGTTGTGTGTTTGAGCTCTGCCTCCTGACCTACATCATGGAGGCCCCTGGAACCAGAACTTGAAACAAGACCCCAAACCCTCCTGCCCACCTCTTCCACAGGCACTCTGGATGTTCTTAAATGGTGACACCTTTGTTTCAGATGATATTTGGGGCCAACCCTGCATAGAAAACAGGTCAGTAAGTGTGATTTGCTTGCAATAGAAGTGGTAACCTGGATCCTGTGTCTTCTGAGCACCTCCTTGTTCTGGGTACCTCTTGTCACCCTGATTCTTGTCCAAGAATCCTAGGCTCCACAGAGAAATCTAACCCAACCACTCAGCTTCACGTAGAGAGAAGCCAAGGCTGAGAGAATGGAAAGGATTTATTCACTGTCCTACCATTACTTAGATATAAAAATCAGGACTAGAATTTGGTCACATTTCCTAAAACTCAGTCTGAGGTTCTGCAATGTCTTTGCTTCTGTGGCTGAAGGTGACTACCTTTTGTTCTTTTTCAACTTTCCAAGTAAGGTTCTTGAGAATGGGTTCCATGGTCATGTCCCACCTCTAGCTCCCAGTACAAAGCAGGGACCAGAGGGAGCGGGGATATCTTCTTTTGAGGCCAAATGAAGTTTCTGGAAGGGATCTTTGATTCTGTTCCCATCTCGGTCTCATCCCTCCCTGCCCAGGGGTATGAGCAGGAGGTACAGAGAGAGAGAATAATCGCAAGTTACTGGTCAGAAAAGCTGGGCAGGGAGGGACCCTGTGTTGCCTCATTCTGAGGGGTACAAAAACTCTTGAGAATGCAGAGTTGCCAGCATTGGCCCCCCATAGAGTCCTCCTGCAGTAAGGAGGGCCAGATGGTGGGCCCAGCATCTGTGGGGCAAGAAGCAATGGCCACAGCTGGACTCTCAGCACAGAATATCTTCCCCAGGTGTGCCACATACACAAGCCTCCACTTGCCTCTGCTCTGCCTCATGGAAGTAGCGCATAATCACATACATGGAATTCATGCAAAACAATTACGTATCCCATACACAAATATGTGCAAACATCCACATGCACACATAGACACCCACATGCATAGAAAACACATACGCATTTACCTACGCCCCACCTCCATACAAAATCCAGAAACGTCCACCCACAGGCACAGGCATGTCCACCTGCAACCACACACAAAGCACAGTCAGCCCTGCTGAGCAAAGGATAAAGGAGGCTGGGAGCAAAGTGAAGAGCCTAGAGGGAATCACACCGAACAAGAAGCCACTGTCCTGCAAATGCAAACCAGAAGCCAGCCAAAAGGGACAATTTAGTGGCCCCCAATCTCGGTCCTTCCAATATCTTCCTTCACTTGTGACCTATTCTCCAGGGGCCAGTCCTACTCAGGTGGGAAGGGGGTGGAGGGGAGAGAAAGAGAAGGAACAGGAGGAAAAGGAGAGATAACCCTAGCCAGGCAGAGCCCAGTAGAGAGTTCTGCACCATTAGGTCTGACTCTTTGCCTAGACTTGAATGTAACCTATGACCTTGGTCAAGCAATCTTTTCTGAGCCTCTCTTGGCTTATCTAAAAAAATGCCCCTGCCTCCTAAAACTTTAGTTGGTTGGGAGCCACCTCTGATTCCCAGCCGGCAGGTACAGAGGGGAAAGAAATGTTTTCTAAAAGAGCCAAGCCTGGAATGATCTTAAGCCCCCATAGTTAGGAAGCCCCATGGGGATCAAGGTCAGAGGGCAGGTGAGGGAGGCCAGGTCTGGAGGGACAGCAAACAGCTCAGCACTCAGTTACCTCTTTTTCGGCCTTGGCCTCTTCCACCGTCACGGTGCTGTGGTTCTTGTGCTCCTGGAACATACAAAGGTAGCAGATGCAGGTCTGGTCGGTCTGGCAGAAGAGCTCCATGGTCTTGCCGTGCAGGGGGCACTTGCGGGCCTCGAAGTCCCGGATGGGCTCGAGCAGCTGGTGGTCGCGGAAGGCCGCGCCCTCCAGGTGGGGCTTAAGGTGCAGCTCGCAGAAGGAGGCCTGGCACACCAGGCAGGACTTGACGGCCTTCTGCTTGTTGCCGATGCAGGAATCGCACAGCACCTCCTCGGAGCCCGACTTGGAGCGCAGGAGGCTCCCGTCGGCCCGCGGGTAGCTGTTCCTGCGGACCTCCCCGGGCTCCACGATGGACACCGAGGGCTTCCGGGGCTCCGAGAAGATGGACTTCTTCTCCGAAAAGGTGACGGGCGGCTTCTTGGCGGCCCCCAGCTGGAGCCCCGCATAGGGCGACCTCCTGCCTTCCGCAGAGTCCATGCTGAAGTAGTTGGAACCCTTGTCATCCACCGACTCCACGAACTGAATGATGGGCCGCCGCCACTCGTTGCCGGAGAACAGGGCGCTCTTTCCCTCCCCCTTCAGGGCGCTGCCCAGGCTCTTGCCCTCGGCCACCTCCCCTCCGTGCCCATGCCCGTTGGCGGTCTTCGTCTCCTTGCCATCGACCTTGGTGCCGTTCTCCAGGCTGCCATTGGGGCCCGACGGGCTGCGGGCGTCCCTAGCTTCAGGGCTCGACCCATTGCTCCTGGAGGCATCTGCGGCTTCCATGGCAGATCACCAAGCTGGTCTGTCTGGCTTGCTGGGACTGTGGTGGGTGACCTCTCAGCGGGTGTCTCGGCAGGGAGTGGGGCAGGCAGCCACGGGCCCGGGACACACCTGCCCGGAGGAGGAGCTGCAGACGGAGGGGAGGAGCGGCCCAGCCTGACACAACGGGCCAGGGAGAGGCGGTGGCTCCGCCAATTATTCAGGCCCACGCCCTGCACATTCATCCCTAACCTGGTTTTTTAAAGAAGTGTGTTTTTTTTTCTCCCCCAGTTTAATTATTTTTCACAACTCAGCAACCAGTTGGGCTGCTTCTATGTGACGCATCTGTTTCTCATCAGGGAAGCGGGAGCCTCTATCCTCAGGTGGACAGGATTTTCTGAGCCCAGCAGCCCCTGGGGCAGAAGCCGAGGTGTCTGCAGAGGGCCACAGGACAGAGGGCTGTTAATTGGGTCACACAAGCCAAATAGCCTTGTAATTTGCGGGGCTGGATTTCACAGGAGACAGACTCCACCTGGGGAGAGTGGAGATGCTTCTCACCCTACGGGGAGATATGGCTTCAATTTGATTTGGATTTTAGGATACGGAGTGATGTGGCCACCTATTATTACCAACTTCCAGGCACTGTCCTAGGTCCTTTACATGTGAATTTATTTAAGCTTCACTTCAATCTATGCCTTTTTTTTCCGATCTTTTTTTTTTTTTTTTTTGGTACCAGGGATTAAACTTAAGAGCATTAATCACTGGGCAAGATTCCCAGCCCTTTTTATTTTTCATTTTGAGACAGGGTCTTGCTAAGTTGTTTAGGGCCTGGCTAAATTGCTGAGACTAGCCTCCAACTTGTGATCCTCCTTCTCAGCCACCCAAGTTGCTGAAATTACAGCACTGGGAATACAGACATGTGTCACCGTACCCAGCTCCATCACGCCTTTTGAGTAGTTGAGAAAAATGAAGCTAAGCCAACTTATTGGTGTCAGTCAAGTGGCAGAGCTGGGATTGAACCAAAGACCTTTATGGTTCTCAAGTCCCTTCTTCAGCCTGGGTACCATGAAGCCACCTAAATATCTCTCCACAATATTGTTTCTGAAGTCTTTCTTATCCTGGTGGCCCTAACAAGATACATATGGACCTTAAGAATTTCACCAGAGCATGTCAGAACTTGCTTACATCTAAAGGCCAGAGACACAGTAATGGAGGGAATACAGGCAACACAAGCCAGGTGGCTTGGTCCTTGGGGCTAAAACACTTGAGTCTCACCTTTCTCCACAGTAAGTTTGTTGTGTGACTCAGAAAAATCTTCCCACCTTCCCCAGGCAAGCCATAGGTAATATCCTGCAAAATGAGGTCAGTGCAGTGTGGGATTCAGATGATTCTGCACTCTCCAGAAGAAAAGTGAGAGCTATCCCACTTCTTCCTCTCCCTGAATCCTACAAAAATCCTGGGACCCTCATCTCTCCTGGTCACTTTGTGGGAAGCCAGCACCCACCCCACGACATACACCCAATATAAGGCTATGCCTCTCTGGGCTGCGCTGGTCAGGGTGGAGCAGACAGTGGGTGTGGCTGGAGTGGCAGGTTCAGGGCTGTGCGGAGGGGAGTGGGTTTCCCATCTTTCCTCTCCAATCTAGGTCAGGCTCCAGGAGCCCCCACCCCTTGGCTCACCAGGCTTTGACAGCTAATCCTTTGCAATAACAGCCCTGGGAACAAGGGCAGAGACAAGGTTAGCTCACAAAGCAGCCAAGTTTTAAGAGGAGGTATGTGTAGGGGTGGGTAGTGCTGACTTCATGATAGGGGTTCCCCTTTACCTGAGGCTCCTGTCCTCAGATTCCACAGGAGCCCCCTCTTGTTCATTAACTGTAAGATCTCATGGGAACTTTTAGGATGAGGAATCCCTTTCTCAAAAAGCTTGAGCTCTTAGCCAGACTTGGTGGTGCATGCCAATAATTTCAGCAGCTTGGGAAGTTGAGGCAGGAGGATCACAAGTTCAAGGCCAGCTTCAGCAACTTAGCAAGGCCCTAAGAAACTTAGCAAGACTCTGCCCCAAAATAAAAAGTAAAAAGGGCTGGGAATGTGGCTCAGTGGTTAAGCACCCCTGAGTTTTTTCCCCAAAAGGGGAAAAAAAAATCTGGGCTTTTGCCTGAAGCTGGAGCCGGAGGGAGACAGCAAAGCATTCTTCTGGTCTGGGGTTGGGACATGCACCTCCCTCTTCCCCTGAGAAGGTCCTTTACCCTGGGAGAATACACTATAAGAATAAAAGAAAAGAGAGGACAAGAAGACACAGAAGGCCAGAGGAGTCCAGGTAAAGATTCAATATCAATGCTGGCTGACCCTGGCAGGCCTCTGCTAGACCTTAGAGTTCATGTACCTGCCATGCAGCAATCTCCATGAATATTCTGAACCTTAGGAATAAGTTGACAGAGAGAAGATGCCCAGAAAACACTTGTGTGTAGATGGATAGATGGACATATGGACAGAAGGAAGAAATAAAAATTAGATGGATATGAATGGAAATGGATGAATGATGGATAGGAGTTAGGTAGTAAGGGATGAGTGGGTGGAGAGAGAATGGATGGAAGGAAGGAAGAAAACAAACAGATGGAGAATTGGATAAAATAATAGAACAAAAAGAAGAAAGGAAAGATGGAGGGAAAGGGGGAGGAAGGAATATAAGTAGGAAGGAGAGAGAAAAGAGAAAGGTGTATACACAGTAGGTAATGGAGTGGATTGCAGGTGTGTGCTAGTGGAAGCTTAGCAACTGGCTCTTCCAGGATGGAAAAAAAAAAATACTGGTTTCTAGTGTTTTCGAATTTCTGCACCCTGGCCAATCTCAAGGTACCATTGAGAGGCATGCTGGGAAAAGAAGCACAGCTACCATCCTAAGCCAAAGTGAGCCCATTCCAACACAACCTGGGAGGACCAGCAGATGATGATCGAGGCAGGTGAGTGGACCACAGGAGGAAGGATAGAAGGATGCTGGAGAGTGCCCATTTCAGTTGTCCTAAGGGAAGGAAGCAGGTTTCAGTGCTTCAAGGCAGATGGGAAGAGGTATGGTTCTGTCTTCTAGGAGGCTGTCCCACGGAGCCCACAACCTTTATCGCTGCAACCTCCCTGTCTGTCCTACTCAGAAAGCATTTAGCTCAGACCACCAGTGCCCTTTACTATTCATTCATTCACATCTTTACTGCACAGTCTACCATGACCAGGTGGTAAGCAAGGACTGGTCAGACAGCCAGAAATGAGTCGCCCATCTTGCCACTGGGGTTGTCAGTCCAGTGGGAAAAGAGATCAGTAAGCAAATAGCTTGAATTTGGAGTTAACAATGAATAAGAGAAATATGTGCAAGGGCTTGAGCTGCCCAGAGGAGTGACAGCCCAGGACAACCTGAGAGAGGCCTGTCTCTCCAACCAGGCTGGGCAGGGCTGGATGTCCATGCTCAGAAGTATCCTCCCCGCCAGACAGAGGTGGGCGGCCTTTGCTTTGACTCAGCAGAAAGTTTATTCAGTTGAACTCTCAGCTGGTGTAGACTGATTGGTCTTTTGGTCTTTATGTGCTAGAAGGCAGGCTTCCCCTCCTGTGTGGGGCTATTCACCTCAAATACCTGGTGGAAAGTAGATTCTCCTGTGATCCCCAAAAATTCCAATGCCAAAAAGAACTCCCTAGAGAAAGAAATCAAAGAAACATTGTCCTTCCAGTTCCAGTCCAAGTCCTTAGACCACCTCTGTTCCCACCACTCCCCAAAGAGGCAAGGGCTTCCACACTCTAGTTCTGAGGTCTGAGGTGGACATCAAGGACCCTCCAGGGACGGCGATGGTTCCTCAAGCTCCCCCAGGTCCCTCTCTCTGGCTTTGCCCACTGAAGAACCTGACTATGCACAAAGTCCCCTGCGAGGCTCCTGCCCTTCACCAGCTCAACTCCACTGCACCGCTTCCCTGAAAGGATGTTTCTTGGTGGCCCCCAGATCTTATTTGTCACATGCCAACTGGCAAAAAAAAATCTCCAAAGGCTATCAGATCTACCACTGTGACTGACAGAGGACCTCGAAGCAGAGGGAACTTTTCATTTTAAAAAGCCTTGAAAGAAAGAAAGGGATTCAGTGACCCCCCTCAGGCGATCATCTCCCACCCTATTCTGTTCTCCCTCTGCAACGGGAGGGACTCTAGCTGCTGGCCCCGACCTCATCCCTAAAGGACCAGGAGGAAGGAGGAGCTGGCAGGTGTGGCTTCCAGAGAAAAATCCTTATGAAGCAGAGGCGACTTCTACCTGTTCTCTTGGGCTCTCTCAGATCAGGTGTGGCCTGCCAGCCAGCCCCCACGGAGTCCTCTCCCACGCCCTCCCCCAGCCAGCCCCAGGCTTCCTCCCAAGCTTCCTTCATTAGACATCTTACAGCCATTCTCCTCCCCTCCTGGCAGCCTCCCTTGATTCAGCAGGTGGAGCAGCCTCACCCACCCACTGCAGTGGCCCGGTAACACCTATCACCAATCATCTTCTCATGAAAGAGGAAACCCCTTAAAAGGGAAAAAATAACCTCCTCTACCTTCCCTGGAACCCCAGGATTGGAGGAGAGCAACCACCAGTTTTATCCCCCTGCCGAAAAAAAAAAAAAATATATATATATATTTAACTATATAGCCTTTAAAAGACCTAGGAGGAAAATGATTTCACAGCCTCTCTCATCTGTTTATTTCAAGCATTAGAACTATTTGCTGCAGGCAGTTCTTCTTTGAGTCTAACTTAAACACTCTAGAAATGACAGTTTACTATGCAGTTGATGTTGAGGAACTGAGCCTTTGGTTCTGCCAAGGATGAGCTGAGAATCAATGAGGAGGGCTCTGGTTGGGTCCTAATGTCTCTGTGGTTCTTTTAAGGTCATGGTAACTTTGTTCTCTTAGAGTGCCTCTAGCTACAGACAGCGCAGGGAGCCTGCAGTGGTTTGACATTTTATAGTAATAATAAAATGTCTGAAGTCTAATTTTCTCATTTATGCTAGCCTAATACAACAAAGTTTATCCTGAAACCCGGGAATGGGGGTTTCAATCACGGATTAAGAAGAACTCTTTGGATTGAGAAGTACCGTTCCTGCTATCATAACTCCCTTCTCGAAGCACTTTAAAAGCAGGACTGATTTCTA